TTAAGAATGCTTTTCATCACTGTTTTACATCCGATGGGATCAGGGATTTTTCTTACAGGTGATAAGAAGTGTGTGCACAGGCACGCATTCCAACCACGGTACGGAAAATATAAGTTAACAAAACAACACACATCCCATATCTGTGAACAAATTAAATGATCTTGCAGATAATTGTTTCTCTAAAGATGGTCCATCAGTGTGTTTTATCTCCGCTTTCACGTTTGATACATGCAAAGAATTTATTTATAGTTGTTAGTGTTGGTTTTCAAACAAGATCGTATTGCACATTTGCCCGCCCTTTTGCTGCTTCATAAAATGCGTCCCGGATCTGTGGGGAATGCAAACAAAGTGAACAGTGTAATATTTAAGCCCCGGCTGTACGTCAGCACCGGGCTCTGGGTGGGCAGCAGGCCTAGACCCGGTGGAGCCCCACAGCTCGTTGTGGGATCTGCCAAAGATGTGTAAACTGCATCAGGCTGGTTAATTGAAAAAAATGGCAGTGAGTGGCAGCACTTTCTGCGTCTGTGTGTCAGGCTTTATTAAAGCACCATTAAGGAGAGGATAAACATGACAACAAGACATGAGTATAAATATATTTTCATCTAATTGTGTTTTAAGACTGTAAGATTGTACTGTGGTTCTCTTTTGTGGAATAATGCAATGAATATTTTAATATAATCTTGCATCTATTTTGATGGGTTAATTCATGTTTTGTTTTGTTTCATGCTCTGTGGTAAATACAGCCATGTCAATAAAGTTACTAAAAAAACTTGAGAGTACAATAAAGCCAATGTGATTATTTATGGATGATGACAGTAGAAGCTGACATTCAGCCTTTCATTCCATTACTGAACTTGTCTCTAATTTGTGCCAACATGGTTTTGTAGTTCAGATTTCTAACCCATGTTTTTGCCACAATGAATAATATTTCGTGAGTTTGAATCTGAATTCAGATGCCTTTTGTTTACAGGGAAAACCTGGGCCATTGGGAGCAGATTGCCCGGGGAGAGGTGGAGGACATTGTGCCCAGCCGGCCTTGTGATTCAGTTCCTGTCAAGGTTGATAATTGACTACCAAAGGGGTTGCTGGCCCACCAAAGGAATAAAAACCTGAATCCTGCCACGGACCTGGAACTTTGAGGGGGAAAGGGGGGTTGGGGTGGGGTGGGGGGGGGAGGGGACCACATCCTGTGTCATCAGGAGTTGGATTAGCTAAAAGCAACTTGACTTTGAAAAACACACAGTTACCTCATTGGGTGACGGAGGTGTCAACACTGACGGTTTCACCGATCCCAGAGACTGACAGATATTCGCTGGGGAGGGACTTTAGCCCATCACCCTGCGTGCTTTCAGGCTGGGAATCCATTTGGTAGGACGGACTTGAGTCGATTCAGTTATTTTATTTTGGCTGTTTTATGTAATTTTATGGTTTTTTTCTTTATTTGAGCTGATTTCATTGTGGTCTTTTATTTGCAGAGGCCTTACTCTGGACCTTTCAAAGGGTAGGATATGTGAAATCTTGACAGTTCAGGCTCTTTTGAATGGTACTGTTTGCCTTCTGTGGTAAATTTTTCGTACGAGCACTACGTCAGCAAGGTATTTCCAGAGACAGAAGGAATGTGTAGAGCAGACTTATGGTGTAATGACACCTAATTAATGAGGTGAACTTTAGAATGTTTCATTTTTAATTACTTTTTGAGCAAAAATCCTTTGCAGTACTTGAATAAATCCATACAGCCTATTCTATGTGGAGATTGCAGAAATCCCCAAGAAACGTGGACGAACTGTGATGAGCGGAGTTAGATAATATTAGCTCTTGTGAATAGTCACAAGAGAATCACAATGTTTGAAGTCTGAGGTGGACCCTGCAAACCTTGACCCCCAAGCATTTAAGAGTCTGCTGCAGCAACATCCTTCTGATCAGCAGGATCCAAACCCAAATCCTTTATCTTTAGCCAAGACTGCATACTACTTAAGTTCTCCTCTCATCTTTTTATACCACTGTCACATTATTTGACATAGCTTAAAATGTAAAAGTAGGAGAAAGAAGCAGCCTTTTGAATAATAAGGCAGGTTTAAAGACACTGACTTCACCAACAATCACTTAGGTTTTCGTTTTTCCATATTCTCAAACCTGTTAAGCTAAAGTGTAACATGTCCATCTCTGGGATTGCAACTTGTTGTCTGACTTTTTGCCGGTGTGTGACTGAAATTTCTCTCATATCCAGGATTTGTCAAAATAAATAAATCAGCCTCCTTTATACACTTATTTTTAAACACACTAGGGGGGGATACATTTGGATTCTTTCAAATGAGTTTCAAGGATCTTCCAAAAGACAAACTATTTTGTCTAAATCTGTCATTCCAATGGACAGCATCCCTCCAAGACTGACATTACCACCCAGTCTGTTTTTTGGTTGTTTTTTTTAGGTTTGTTTGTTTTGTTTTGTTGTACGGCTGGTACTGTGGCCCTCTTGTGTTTTGAATGTACATTTTGATGAATGTTTTGTTGAGTGCAGATTTTCTGCAGTGGTATGCGGTAGTGCGCCATCAGTTTCCTCCATGTGCTCTGTCTTACCTTTCAGAATTGCTTCCAGTAAGCTTCAACAAAGAGCAACAATTAGCATGCACCTTACCTGAAGTTTCAATCTAACTTGACATGTATGGTAACAGGTGTGTAGTGTGTGTACACTCTAGGAATTAGTCTGTACAGACTGAGACGTATGCTCTGATGGTGCTAAACAGAATGGCAGTCGTGAGCTTTCTGAATGAGTGTATGCTCTGTCCGTGTGTGTGGGTGTGTGTGTGTTTGTGTGTGACAGAGGAAGAAAGCTTTTTCACCTTTACTTACTCCTGCCTGACAACATGGTAAAGTCACTGCACTGTCCCTTCTACTTTTCAGCACCAGTTATATCCCATTGTCTGCACTATGTTTAGCTTTTGATCTTTATCATTATTATTATTATTATTATTATTGTTATTGCTATTAGTACTATTGTTATTTTCTTAATTAGAGTTGAATTTAAATTAACTTATATTTTTTATACAAAGAAAAATAATGTTGGCCTTTTTTGTTTTGTACAAAGTAAACTTTAAAATAAATTAAACAGTCTAGACATGTTACTGTTACCCAGAATAACTGAGGAATGTCTCAACTGTAAATGTAAGAGCCGTAGCCCAAATGAATTTTATTAAATATAACTCTAAAAATATTTTGTTGTTCCAGATCATTCTTCATGTCATGTGTTTTTGTGCTACTGTGCAAACTGTTGTTATGACCGAGCTGCATAAACACATTCGGTGTTGGTTGGCATAAATTGCCTCAGATGTTCCTTTCTTCCTTTTGTTCAATGAGTTTGTGATAGAACTTTAAGAGATAATTTGCCCCAATTGGAAACAAATCCTTTCTTTCTTTTGTGGAAAATTTAGGGACGATACAGTTTGCTGCATTTGCTCCAAACACTGTAGATGTCAACAATATTCTGACAGTTTTAATCCTTCTGGAATATAATGAACCATTTATACATGGCAGAAGTAGTCATCTGAATTCTATGAAAATACCAAACAAATGTTTACAGTTACAGAAAAATAAGATGGCCACAAATACTAAGGTATTCTGACCTTAATATTTTCATTTTAGTAGCTTCTATGATCCTGGAAGGTATGCCTATGCCACCGCTCTTGGTTTACTTCCTATGGTTATTTGTATGATATATTATTATTCTCATATTTTCAAATCTACAAAAATAAAAAGATAAACCATCCCATGATAGCTACACTTTCTACAGATAATATTGCACAATTTAACAATCAAATGTACAATTTCGTAAAATGGCTGACCGCACCTAGAGTAATCTACCAGCTCCAACACTGAAGTCGGAGGGCAAATTTAAACTACTCCAAATGGAATGAAAAGTACGAAATCATGAGTAAACTTCATATTTCAGTAGGATTTAATCTTTAATAGAATGCATTTTCAAATAAAAGTAGCATTTCGTAGTTTTTGTCAACGATTAAATATCCCAATTTGGAAAGTAAACTATGAGTTTTTGTGTATTCCTCACTGCTGTTATTTTTATTATTTTCTGATAAATACATTTTGAAAATAAATATCACTTCAAATGTAACATTACTAGATTGTTTCTTTTTAGATAGAACAATGGAGATTCACATAAACTGGTTAATGGCAGCATGTGTGTTAGTGGAGCGTGACATGTTATTCTGTCTCTTCTTGCTCAGCTCCGTGGTCTGTGTGCTTTCCTATTCCGGTCATTGGAGCCCTGAGGCCATTGCATTCTCTTTCTGCGCCCCCCCCTCTCGATTCCACTTGAGGCTACTGTCCAGCCTGCATGTCTTATTTAAACAAAAAAAAAAAAGATGTGTTGCAAATAACCAAATTAAGATGACAGTTTGAATTAAGCATTTGCAAGAGCTTTGTGGTAATCAGATTTTGCCAGTAACCAAAGTTTACACAATTTGTCTGGTAATTACTGATTTGAGACAGTCTGCAGGAAACACATGGGAATCACTGAATAAGAAAACATGGGGGAAATTGTGGGGGATTTTAGAGCGATTGCACCTCCATGTTTAAGAGATTACAGAGCACACATTAGTTATTTGCAGTGTTAACAGGTAACTCGTGTTGCTTGTGGCTCTTGACATCCAAAACACTCATGGCTACCAGACATAAATGAGTTACAAGTAGGATTTAGACTGCCAGAAGGTAGTTTTGTTAAAAAAAAAAAATTCTATTCAGTTAAGACTGTTTACTGATGGGATTTTTTTTCCCCTGTTACTGTAAAAAAAAAAGAAAAGAAAACTCAAAGGGCATAAATATAGCCTACACTGACAGATGTGGATTTACTAGAACATAATTTATCTTAAACTCGAACTCAACTTTAAGAATGTGCTTCACGCTTCGTTACCTATAAAGATAAACTTCAGTCAGATGTAAAAGTGTTCCTGGGGTAAAGCTGTTTTTCACTTCACTCACTGAAAGCTCACGGGTACGATTATCACCGAGACCCTAAATGCAACGCAAGGATCGAGCGCCTCTGTCTCCTTGGAGACGAGGAGCAGCACGCACAGCCGAGGCCGGGACGGAAGTCCGGTGCTGGTCGTGATTCTTTTGGAAGTGGTTTGTTCGCAGGTGAGGCTAATGTCACTCGCTCGTTGGCTATTTATTTAAGTAGAAATAGTTTAGCTTTTTAAATGTGACCGTCTGCTTTGGGGGATAAAAAAACACACAACTAAACCACAGCTGTTGTTTGGGGTACGTAGCAAAAGTCTGAGATTCTACTTGTTATGTGTTTTTGTGATGTCTTTGTTGACTTCCAATTATTTATTTTCTTATTTATTTACTGTTTTTTTTTTATTAGAAAACGTGCTAAGAAGACATTGAAATTGCTCTGCGTTTTTGTTTGTTTGTTTGATTTATTTGAAGTAATAAGCTTTCATGAGTGTTATAGAAAGTAATAAAGTTATATTTTTGTCACATAGGAAACTGTTAAGGGAATTTGATAGAAAGGATTGGTTCTGTGTCTTCATATCAACTTTTTACAATCTTTCCCTCTAAGCCATGTCCAGCTACAGCAAAAAGAAGCAGCAGAGATGCACCAGCGACATCAACAGCCTGCTGCTGGCCGCTGAAGCAGCTCAGAAGGCCGATATACTGACCTATTCCTCAGGCCATCTCGGGCCTCGCAGCCTAAACCAGAATCAGCCTCCCAAACAGACAAAGCAGTTTTTCTGGAGAACACCTCTCAGTCAAGGAGAAACTCTGGACTTAGTGGCACTCAAAAAGACGCATGCAGAGATTCTGGCCAGTGTAAAGAAGAAAGACACAAGGGAGTTTCCATCTGAGGACACTCCTGGCACTCCTTTGGTGGATTCTAGGCTCTTGAAATCGAGACAGGACAAGGCCACATATTGTTCCTCCAATGCAGGCAGAGAAGAGACAAAGCTGACTAAGACAGGCTGTTCTTCAGACTCTATGTCAGAACAGCCGAAAGCCTCTTCTCTGAAAGAATCTGTCACGTTGCCTGATATGGACAAGAACGATGAGATTCCATCAAGCTGGGAGGACCTGAAGAATGAAGGCCAGATGGAGATGAAACCATGGTTTGACTGGCAGGTCACAGGAGAGCAGGACATCTGTGCTGGAGTAAATTTTGCTGAAGCACATCAGGAGAAATTACAAGAGGTGAGAGGAGTTTCCCAGACCACAACTTTTACAAACGACTTTTTATTTCCACAAAATAAAGGCACAAGCTCTGAAACCCATTCTGACTTGCTCATGTGCTGTGTGTGTGTTCCTGTTCTACACAGGAGTTGAAGAAGTTGTCAGCACAAGGCTGGCCCAGCAGAGACCGCCTTGCGGTGTTCAGTGACGTCTTTGATGATGTATGTGAAGGCTCGCCAGTATTTGGACGCATCCTGAGGGAAATCAAGGTTTTTCCATTTCCTCTGTACCCACTAGCACATTTTTAGCATATGCTGTCAGATGTATTAGAGCCAACAGAGAGTGGGTCCCTGGTGTAGAAAGCGCAAGTAGAGCAACCACCGGAACCTGGTCGATGTGCGTCAGGGAGCAGAACTTCAGAGGGCAGCCAATCTGTCACCGCTCGTTCACATGAGTGTTTCGTGTCATGCTAGTTTCTTTTAAGTCACATGACAGGATTACTCATGCATGTTTTTAAACTGCATTACATCTTTATTATTTTACATTATAGTTTGGGAATTTTGCACATGACGATCATTTGTTGCAGATTGAGATGTTTTCTGTTACATCATGCAGCTGATATCACTTATGACTTTTAATTTGCTGAATTATTACAGTAATTTGAGAAAGTTATATTTTTCTATTAATATCAAAAGAAATCATATAGATTAAACCGTCATATTTATTGTTTTCATTTGATTCTAATCAAAAGACCCAATCAATGTGATACATAATGTGAAATTAAAAACATTTCTCTTTCCCTCCAGAGAGATTATGATTTATATGTTAACCACTTGATGGATGCCCAATCCTCACGACAAAACATGGTAAAGGAATAATCTATTTATTTTGTAACTGTTAATGACAAGGAGTGGAACATGGATTTTACCCTCTGGTATAATAGCCTGGCTTTGGTGCACTTCTCTGTTTGTCAGGTGATTAACTGTAATCCCAACATAAAGGCTTCATGTTTGCTGTGGTGGATTATCAAGAGCATGTACTTTCAAAACCAAAACCAGTGCCATCTGAGTGAGAATAAAAGCCTGTATTTGGGGTTTTTGAGAAACAGATCTACTACTTCTTTGTCATGTATTAACATTATGGTTATGGCTGTCACAGGCTTAAGGATAAGACACACTGTCTTTCATTCCTTTATGTGCTCCTTTTCAATATTTCCTGTAAGAAATGACTCCGGCCTGCTAGGGTTCGGAGTGTATTGGGGAAAAAGAATTATTGTAAGAGGAATGAGTACCTGTATTTTTGGCTTCAGTGCACTCTGTTTCAACACAAAAAGGAAGCCTGCAGGAGTCACAGGACAAAGATTTTTTTCCTCAAGACTCTTTAGTACACGTGACACAATATTTGCGTTTTAGTGGGATGTTTCTTGATTTTCCTAATTGTTGTGTAACAGTTGCTGCGTGCCCCTGTGGAAGATTCAGGAGAAGTAAGGGAAACAGAGCTAGATGAAGCTGAAAAGGACGTTTCCATCCTGCAGCAGGAAGCCCAAAAAGCTGCAGAGGAGAAAAAGCAGTACCACATTCATTTATCATATAATGACTGTTTATGTTGGTCATTCTCAGTGGTTAAAGTTTGTTTGTTCTTTGTAACTCTAGAGCCCACGATGAGCTACAGAACATTTCAGCCACAAGGGGCCCAGAGGACAGTGACAAGAAGAGTAAATCTCAGAATTACACTTTCATAGCTCATAATCAGTGAACCTCATCCAGGCGTTGTTGGGGAAGTACATCACACTGCCTGCAGCCTGACCCATCATTCAGAGCCCTCATTCCTGTCTTGTAGCTGCTGTGTGTGCTGGAGCAGATACATCTCTGACCGGGCTGCAGGAGAGTGCAACTGTCACCGGCCACACGGATATTGTCCAAATCAGGAGGCTTCAGATACTAACCATGAGGAAGGAGATCCAGCAGTTGGAGTTTGAGATTCATGAACAGCTGGCGGCTGCTGACACCACAGCTGCTGCTGAAAGGCACCTCAAAGATCTGAAGGTCCAGAAAGTTTGAGCGCTGCTCAGCTCTTTTGCTGTGGAGAGCACAACTTCATGGCTCTTTGACTTAGTTTTGCTTTCATGTGTTTCCAGACTGAGATGATTAAGCTGTTAGCCTCAAATCACCGTCTAAGGACCATTAGCAAAGTATGGGAGTTTTATCTGTTTACTATATTCTTGTTTGTTTTTTTCATAGTTAATGTATTGCATGTCCTGTTATGTTTTAAATGCTTTCATTAATGTGATGTTCTCCTTTAAGGATTTGGAGAAGAACATCAATATGTTGCTAAACAGAGAGAAAGCAAGCAAGGCTATAAGACGGTGTGTAGTATGTTACATACAGTGTTTGTGTTTAATTGATAGGTGACCCTTATTTATCTACATGTGCTCTTTTGTGTTACGCTACAGGATGTTGTGGGATGAAATATACAGTGATCTCCAACCAGAGGGTGAACAGCTTCATCATCTACAATCCAAATAAACACTTGGATGTTTCTCCGTGTGCAGGATAATGCTATTTGCAGTCAAATCAAAGATGCATCTTTTTTATCGATTTATACCTTACATAGATACCACATTATAAATAGTTAATATAGTCTTAGTGGCAAAATGGATTTCTTACAATGAAAAGTCAATATTGTTAGTGCTATTATTTTTTATATAATCTGCATGGAAATCTGCATAAACTGGAGACAATGCATATTTTTGGACACAATGGATATTTTAAATAAAGAGTACCAAATTTGGAGTAAATTGCTCTATAAACACCAGATGGCAGCAGAGATATGTGAGAAAAGTGCAAAATAGGACAAATATGAAGTACTGGAGAAATATTTACTGGCTTTCCTCTGGAATTGTGGTTAACTTGTTTAGCTTCTATTATTTAAAAATGCAGATCCTAACATGTTAATGTTGTTAAGTCCCCCCTTCTTTAGAAAAGGGTTTTGCTTGGGTCTGTTCTAATTCAGTGCTGAGGTGTCAGTTTGTGACCTTTATCAAAAGTAGCAAAGATAGTTTGAGGTTTGTGATGTCTTGAGAAAGGTCATGGTGGACGTGCAGTGGGAGCCTTAAAAGGAAATATGGAGAGGGTTCTCCTTTAGGCTCAGTTTCCATGAGACTTAAGTCATAAAAGCCCAATTAGAACTCTGAACAAAACTGAGGTGAAACACTCATTTGATATATTTAACAATGATAGAGAATGAGAATATTAAAGAGGCTTATCAATGGCATGATATGGTGTGAACTTTAACCCCGGTGGGATGGAGTGCCTTGTTGTCTGCTCCAATCTAATCAGAGGTCAAAGTCTACACCGTGGCTGACCGAGGCACTAGGAGCAAGCGGTGTGTTTTCCCCTCACTGTCTACGCTCTTCCCTCCCTGTTCACCACACTTCACTTTGTGGGGTGCTACCTTTGCTTGGACCGCTGCCGGCTCATCACCATGTTGTTTAGGATTTTGGCGGTGCTCCTCCTCTGCTTGTCCTTGGGCATGTGTGCCACTTTAAGCTTGTACCAGACGGAAACCAAGGAGGACGAGGAGGCTGCTGCCGTGGCGACCCCGGCTGCAGATGCCCATGTAGGAGATTCCTCTGACACTAACTCTTTTTTTGGTGACAACCTGTTGGCTAAAGTACTCGGCGTGGATAACCAGGGGGGTAGTCAACCTGAAGTGGAGGCTGATGGTGCAACAGTCAGAGAGCCAGGAAATGACAGTGATAAACCTGCCACGGAAAGCCTTATTAAGGAAGCTGTCAATCAGAGACCTCCGTCTGGGGAGGAGGCCAATGACATCAGACCAGCCCAGGCGAATAAGTCCCAAAACAAACCTCAAGCACAAGAAGACGAAAACAGTTGGAGCTTCAACTCAATTAGAAATAGTTTTCAGAATGTTCATGGGTACTTTGACTCCCTGGTCGAGCTTGTTGGAGGACGCAATGGCATTTGCCAGTATCGCTGCAGATATGGTAAGAATGAATCTTTTAATATAGATGTTTTCTGTGTTTTTTGTGGGGGGGTTGATCAATTCACAATATTTTATTGGGTTCTAAAGGGTATTATAAACACAAATGGTAAAATTGTGAAGCCAAACACCTCTATCAGGTGCACAGAATGGTTTCAAATCATTTAAGCAGTTCAACTTCTCTACATTCCTCTGTTTGTCTGACCAGCACTCTGCATTTCAATAAAGTATTCTAGCCTAAATTGACAGCCAATTACTTTTTTAACCCAGAATTAAAGTAGAATATTTTTTCTTATCGGTCTGGAAGGTGGATGTCCTTTCAGTTACATAATCAATACAGATGTTCTCAAACAGAAGTTACATCTTATCTGTGAAGTAACACACATGACAATAGAGATACACTGTACCATACTCTTGCTGTAGGGACGTGATTACATCACTGAAGTCTGTCTAAAGTGACTAGACTTTTCCTATCTTTCTAGGCGAACTTCCACTTCCTCGCCCAGGCTACCAGCAAGCAGAGCCCAACGGCTGCAGCTCTTCGCTGGTTGGATTCCAGGTGAATGCTGCTGTAGGTGGCCTCTTCATAGCACCAACAGCCCAGTACCGTGCTTTTTCAGCTTGTAGTGAGCACTGATGCAACCTTACTTCTGAGTCAGTAAATCGTGCTGATGCAACATTCTGTCTTTTGGCAGCTTGACATGGGAATCCCCGCCATGACAACGTGCTGCAACCAGCTTGATACGTGCTACGACACTTGTGGCTTGAATAAGTATGACTGTGACGCCAAGTTTCGCTCATGCTTGCTCAGCATCTGCTCTGACCTAAAGAAGAGCCTGGGCTTTGTGTCCAAGGTACAAGGTGAGAAGTCATTTCTAATCCTCTTCCGTTTGCCACCTGAAGCATGTGTCAGACCTGTGAGGTACTAAAACACGAATGTGTGTTTCTCCCCTTCTCAGCCTGCGAATCAGTGGCAGACACTCTCTACAACACAGTGTGGACTTTTGGTTGTAGGCCCTACATGAACAGCCAGAGGGCAGCGTGTGTCTGCCAGGAAGAGGACAAGGATGAACTGTGACACACAGCACTATGGACATCTACTTTTAAGCTTTTATAGGCTTTTTTGTCACAGAACAGGTAACTCATAAAGGCCCCCCTCAAAACCCCAAGACCAGGAATTAAAAATACATAAATGGGGATTCAAGTGAACTGTAACATGATTTATTCACATGGAGTTTTAATAGATATATGGTGCCTAAATATGACTTTCAGAATCATAATTAGTTGCTCATGCATATTTAACTCTCCTTACTCCTCATTTTAGGTCTAAATTAGGCCTCTATGACTCCATTACCATGAATGACTTGATGACTCCAAACAAAGTGCCCAAAAGGATAATGGAAAGGATATGGAAATTAAACTAATTTCCTCTACATAGATAAGCACAAGATTATTACTGAGGTGCATATGGCATGCTTTTGGCATGCCAAAAATTTGCCACGCGCAAACACAAAGTTAATATCACGTAAATGTAAAGCCCATTACAGCTATGTTCATGTTTGATTTAAATCATTCAGCAGTTATTTGTTACTTTTCATGAATAAATGTATGACTAATTGCAGTTTAACTGACATGATTACTTCTAGATTGATAGTCAGAGTGATGAAGCGTGTGTATAATTTCCTGGCACAGCTCACTGATATCTCCTTCCTGCCACACTGTAATGTGCAGCATGCTCCCAAGTCATCGATTACACTCAGCAAATGGCTTAGAATGCATCTAAGGATGTTCCACTTCAATTTTTCAAGTCAGTGATGGTGTGAAATATAAACCATTTTTATAAATCCAGAAAGTCTCCAAGCTGCAATTAAGCCTGCGAAAAGCCCCAATGTGTGACCTAGAAAAACATTCGCCATGCTATAGTTGTTAGAAACGCACTGTGGTCACTCCAAATGGTTTCTAATAGAAATGTCAATCATCTTAATGTCAGTAAACTGTGCTGCGAGGCAGTGTGGCAAAGATACACAAACTAAGATGTGCTAGATCATCATAGCTCAATGTGTAACAGAGGTACTCAGAAAACACAGGAAAAATAAGGTATATTTTACTTCTACATGTGCGTGTATGTTGGACTTTAAAGGGACAGTGCAATGGACTTGTTTGCATATACGTCTATTTGGTGTTTTACATGCCAAATAAATCAAATTGGTCAGCTCATCTGTAAGTGCAGTTTTTCTTGTCCCAGCATGCATAGCTGGGAAGCTTTTTCTGTGTTTTTTTTTTGTTAGCATGATGCTTAGGGCAGCATATAAATGGGGCCTGAGCTCAGCAGGTGTTGATCCTGAGATTGACCAGTCTGAATCCCCCGTCTGGCACGCCGCTGGCAGCGCTGGGCACAGCGGGTGTCGCCTGTCCCGCACACCAGCACCTGGCAGTGGAGGAACACTTGCTGCAAGCACAGGAGATACAAGCTTGTTTTGAGATTTTAGGAAAGAATAAAACGTCATCACATTATAATGGATGCTGTTTCCAGCCCGTCCTCACTGCATTAACCCATAATCAGCAGGTGGTTACCAGCATGCTTCTTCTACTCACTTGATTGTCCTTGCCGAGGAACTTGAAGACAGGGACCTGGTAGCGCTTGGAGAGCTGGTCCTTTGCTGAGTATTCTGTCACTGTCTCATCAGAGATGCATCTGCACAGGAGGTCAAAAAGAAAAAAGCAGTGCATGACATTTGAACACAGCAATACATCTCTAACAAGCCAATTCAGCACAGTGAGAGGCCCTAAAGTTGCAAACTTCGATGTTACTGAGAAAGCACAAAATAATACATCAATTCATGTTTCATAATTGATAAGACAGTGTGCTAGAAACAATTTAAATGTTTTCATGGAAAGCATCCACGCTTCTCAGATTCATCTAAATTCAATGCCCGCCATATTTTTCATTTGCCATGTTTCTGAAATACTGATTATTTCCTGTCATAAAACTTTCAAGCATGAAGCTAAAGAGGTAAAACAGATGGGTGCTTTTGTGATACTGTAAGCCACACTGGGTTATATCCTACTTGTATATGTTTTTCTAAAAACACCACGTTCTGTGTTGTAAATCATCCCGCCTGGAAAGACTAACCTTAAACCTGCAAATCCAGTTAACAGCAGTTTATTTATTACATCTTTGGCTAATGAAGAATTGCTCCTTTTATCCAGATTCTCTTTTTCTAAGCTCTCTTGTTGTGTGTATTTACACCAAGTTTGATAGTGATGAGAGAAAATAACAAAGATTATTCACCCATCTTTGATGAGGTAATACTTGAGGGCCTGGTCAGCTTTTGGCCCCGGTGTTGCAAAGCAGCACTGTATCAGGGTGGAGAGGCCTTCAACTCTTTCCTTTGGCTCCACCCCAAAGAACAGGGAGTCGTGCAGCCGCAGCTGGGGCGGAGTGCGGTAGGGCTCTGAGAACTCAGCATTCTTGAAAAGCTCCAGGTTGAACTGGAAGGTTCCTTCACTGTGGCTCTCCAGCTCCAGGGCTGAGCTGCGCAGGCTTGCCTGGTACCCGTCTGACACATAGTACTCCCGGGGGAACTCACAGGTGACTGGGAGCAGTAACTTGCTGGTCCGGACTATCAGATCCGGGCTGCTGCCTGAGCTGCTCCTGGGCAGACCTGTCACCAGGTTGGTCCCCACAATCTTCTCACTTGTCACCTGAAAGCAAATGTTCATTTTCTCTGTTATTCTTATCAGTGCACACTTTCAGTGGAGAAAAGCACGTCCCCCCCCCCCCAAAAAGCCGACCTCCACCACTGTTCCGCACGTCTTGAGGCTGAAGCTGAGGTTGATGTGTGTGCCGTTGGAAATACCCCGACAAGAAGAGTTGGATAGAAAGAGCTCCAGTCCTGCCACAAGGTCTTTAGGAACTGATACAGTTATAGAGCTGGAATCACACTGGACTGGCACTGCAGGGACAGGATGAGGAGAGAAGTGATGAAAACAACTTAACGCAGCTTAAATGTCACCACCTGATCAGTAAGATTACTAATAAAAAAATATATTCTGAAAAATCGTAATCTCAATTCGTTGGACTGCTCTTTCAAAAAAAGAAATCTTGCACCAGCCAGTTACACTGAAAATAGATAAAAACACATTGAAATGTTGTATGAACACTCCACTGCCCGATTTTAAAAAATAACCTCCATTCTTAGGGCTTTAAACATTGGAGCCTCATGTCTGAGCATCATGTCATATCTTTGCACTTTGGTACAAAGCACATTGTTCTAGGAGTGTTAGAGTTTCTTAAGATGCAACTTTGCAAACTTAAGCTATGAGAGAAGAGTCTCTCTAATGGAAACAACTCCAACTAAGCCACACTTCTTACATCTTAATTCAAAGATCCTTGGAAGACCTGATGAATTTGATTACGGTCTGAAACACTGAACCTTGGGGATATTTGTAAGACAAACACACACACACCCCGGCATGTTCGCTTGTCCTCTCCGAGCTCCAACCCTCTGGGACAGTGGCAGTGATAGGAGTCCGGCAGCAGGGAGCAGCCATGGCTGCAGCCTCCATTGTTGGCGTGACAACCTGCAATCTCTGCATGAAGCATTGAATGTGCCCATTATTCAGAACAAACGCGTTCTGTGGGTCCCTGCTTTTGTTATCTCTGTACAGAAACAAATGGTTTGCCTCACACCTCTGCAGTTGTGTCCATCCTCATCCAGTACTCTTCCCCGTCCACACTCACAGCGCCTGGAGCCTTTGGTGTTCACGCACAGCTCTGCACAGCCACCGTTGCCATTGTCACACTCATTTATATCTGGACGCAAGATAGAAAACACATATTTTACGATATTATCATCAGACATTTCCTGTTTTAATGCCATATGGGTGGAGTTTGTCACCTCCAAGTAATTCATTTTGTTTATCTGGGAGGAGAATAAAAGACTCTGGAGGACAATAAAATGAAGATTATATGGAGATTGCTGGTTAAGAAATTATGAAGCATGGGGAGAGGAGTAAAAGTGGGTGAAAAATTGGATGTAGAAGAGCAGAGAAAGGCACATTAAATCCCATCACTGTCATCAATCATTAGATATTAATACTTCACACATACACACACATGACATTACACCTGCTGATGTCAATGTTTTAAGAGACTTCCACCTTATTCATACAGTGTGATTTCAAGTATTACATTTCGTCCCAGTAATTTGTCTTTTTAAATGCATTTAGGTACTCACAACCTCAATAAGAAATTCCTGCATATGCATTGAAAACTGTACTACAAAATCTAAACAAGCCTGATGCATTTAGTAAATAGCCTTGTGAAATGATGCAGTAAGATGGGATTTCATTTTAAAAGATATGTTTAAAAATCTGTGTACAAATTACATAATAACGTGAGGGCTCAAAGAATATCTGATATGGAACCAATTGACTCTTGCTAGAGCAATGGCTGAAAACAGCTCTTGCAAAATGGGCCTTTTTGTATATGTAGTTGTTATTCTTTTAAAAAATTCCATGCACTCTGTATTTCATTTTGATCTTTGCCTCTTCAACAACCCTTCTGTTGCCCCTCTGCCTCCAACCCTGTCAGTCTCACCCAGGCACGTCTGTCCGTCTGGTCCCAGGACGCTGCCTGGTGCACAGCTACAGTCCGACTCTGGGCATCTGGGACCTCTGCAATCAGCCTCATCGCAAATATCATAGAAATCTGTGGAATTAACGCACACACAAAAACGAAAATCAAAACTCTTTGTGAAAAATGTCGATTCTCTAAAAACGTATTCAGACAGGATCACTCACGGCCGCAGTAGACGTGGAAGCAGACCGAGGGTCTGGGCAGGCGGTAAACAAAGTAGCCGCCCGGACAGGCCTTGACCTCCGCAGTGGCGTTCCAGTGGCAGCAGTTGTTGTTGAAGCTGGCACAGACGGGCAGGGTAACGACGCCCTGGTGGAGCCGGGGGTGGCTGCCGTTGAGCCATACGGGGGCGTGCGTGCCACACAGGTTCTCAGGGATGCAGAATGTGGGCATGGCGTCCCCTGCCATGCCGGTGAAGCGGTACCATTCTCCAGCCACGTGGCTGTCGCAGCGGGGCACGCCGGAGGACTGGTTGACATGGAAGTCAGTGTTCCTCCAGGGCTCATTCAGACTGATGTAGGCGGAGCACGGGTCCAGGGCTGAGATGTGAGGGGACGCCAAGGCATGAATGTTAGTTAGACATAGGATGTGTTTGACTTTTCTCTGAGGAGTCATAGAACCAAGGATTTGGGGCAGAAGGGAGTTGGAAGAAATGTTAGGTTTCAAAACAAATTATATCCACTTGAGTAAAAAGTTTAACTTCCAAATTGACAAAGAGCTCAACAAAGGAAATTTGCTCAAAAAAATGAAGGGAATGTGATGATTCCCTCCAAGGAAATTAAAGAAATACATTTCCCTTCATGGAAATGTTGCATTTTGTCTTTGGTTTTATTCATCAACTGTAATATTGTGTATTGTTAATTTCTTCAGACCTGTAGATTGTGGGGGAGTCTTCTGATAATTGGGTTCTCAATTCCAAAAACCCAGAGCAGAACAAGTGACACCAACCAGACTGTGTGATGACAGAAACTGTCATCGAGCCTGGTACATGCTGTCCCTGAGGAAGCATGGAGGTTTGTCTGTTTTTTTTATTGAAAAAAAGATAACACAGTTTCATGCAGACAAACTTATCTTTGGACTGATTGTTGTAAAAAAAAAAATGAAGAAAAAAAAGATAAAACCATTGAATTTCTAAGGTTGTCACAAATTTTGGTTACATTTATTGAAAACTGTAATAGGGGAGGCTTCAAAAGTGTATATGTTCTTAAGTATATTCCAATACTGTACATGATACAGAAGCCCTGTTTTTCAATACTGCATGTAAATGAATAAATAACCTTTACATGATTACCTTTCATAACCATTTCACATGTTGTTACATATACATATATAGACTTGCTCTGTCAATGCTATGTTCAACTGAAACTGTTCAGATATCTGTTTTTGTTTCACGTTGTTGTTCATATTCCGTGTTTTTTAAATGTTTGCCCCCAGGCCAACATGATGCAGAACAACATTTCTTTTCTGGTGCAGGTCCAATGTGGGGCTTTGTTAGAGGTCATTTTCTTATCTCTCCCTGACAGTGGAAGAACCTTCACCACTCATATTTTTTATTAATTGGTATTCATAATGAAAGCTGCTTGTGGATTAGCCAATAACAACAATGAATTTTCATTGTGTTTCTTTGATAATTAGAATTATATCCAAGTACAGGTAACCCTTATGCATTAATGTTTTATTGATTACTATTGTAAAGGGTTTAAGGTCTGCACATTTCTTTCTTTGAGAAAATCTTTAGATCACCAAGATAAAAGGCAAAAGAGCAAGGTATAAATCAGGTAAAACAAGCTTTCCACAAAGGGCTCTTTATCCTGTGAGTTTCGTCAGTAATGACTCTTTCCTCCACAGTCACTTGTGCATAATCAGGAAACCAACTGAACAGGAAGAGTAAACAGTCAATTGTCTCTCCCCTCTTTATGTGCTTTCAGCAATGTGATTAAGAGGCAGACATAAAACAAAAAGGAGAGAACATTTGGGCCTGGGCTAAACAGGCAGGAATGTGAGTGTCAATTAAGGAAAATTTGGAAGGGATGGAGAAAAAGCAGCAGGCTGATCTGTGCCGCATCCTCTGCGATAAGCAAAGCTCGACAGCATGTGAGCTGAAAAGCACCACCAAACACTTAGCAATCCCCTCAGATAGCATCAATTGCATTATATAAGATCTCCATATTTACGCTTTCCAGTATCTGTATGAAAAGTGCCATATCTAGAGCAACCACAGTCAAGGCTGTGAAGAGATTTACAGTAACAATAGCAGGGTGTTTCTTCTATTTTCTGTCAGTATTACACATAAAGACACACGAGCACACACTTTTAGCTTTTAGCTCCCAGAAGCCATCAACTAATATTTATGTGTTGATCCCAATTTGTGACCAGAGAGCACACACATATCATTTTCTCCCTCCATCCTCTGCTGGACAGTCCATCTTGTCACTATGCTGCTGCAATAAAAGCAGGCCGATGAATCTATAGAGCCTGAGCCCCCTGACAACATTAACAACCATTTGTGGAGATATACGAGTGACCCACAGCGCTCCAGTTCCAGCAGCACAGAGGGGGCAGAGGACAAAGCTGACTCATGAGGTTATATGCTAATAGGAACGTTGAATCACCCGAATGAGGTCTGAAAAACTTTATTTGGCTGTTTGGAGGAAAAAGAGCCACACCTGGCATGATGAGTCAGACTCATGACTGTAATCTCTGCCGGTGCATATCCACAGGGTCCAAGATCATAGAAGGATGGAATTATTTCTTAAATCAAAACTGATCTTGCTGACAAATGTACCCACAAGATTTAGCTCCAAGCCAAAGAAGATGTCCAAAAAGTATTTGAATCACAACAGTTAATCTGGGTGGCATGGTGATTTATTACTGTAGACACATTTACTTTTTTTTGGATCAGTCCCCATTGCAGTGTTTCAGCACTTAACTGCTTACACCAAATAACATGTAATTCCACAGCTGAAAATAGTCCCAGAGTAAGCACTCTTAAAAAACAAAGCTGACTTGACATAAAATACTGCACTGTAGGAAATGATCACGCCTTAACTTCATGCAAATATATTTGTGGCCTATTTTTAAACATTTGTACCATCAGTTGAAAACAGTATTCTGGAAGCTGACTGCAGCACATAGGAAATTCTAATATATATGAATATAGATATTCAGAGACAGATTAAGAAGTTGCTGGAAAAGGAAACAGGACAGATGTCATAGTATATACATGAATTTATTCAAATTTTGATTGTAAATATGTTAAACAATGGACTTACCTACACCTGCAGCTGTAAAAGCTTCCTGCAGCAGACTGAGGATGACCAAAACGATCATGATGAATACGTGCAACAACGGGAAAAAAGATGATCCAAGCTCAGTCCTTGGAGTTTATGGCAGTTGAATACTTCTGTGTGTCTTTAATAGGGCCTCTTATCTCTGTCCTATTTGTACATCTCTTCTTCACCTTGAACCCCCGAAGCTCTGTTTCCAGAGGCAGGACCATCCTTCTATTGTTTCAAACAAGGGTCTCTCTATTCTCCTTCCTCAGTGCTTACACACATGTTCGTAAGACACTCCAAACATTTTAATCTGCGGAGATAGCTAAAAAGAAGTGGGCCTGGCACCTGTGTTTTCTGTCTAACAACATCTCCCTTGAAGAGTAACAAATTACAATATTGAATGTTCTGTTTTGCATCATGCTGAGAAGTCTATGTTTAATAAAGACAACAGCAAAGACTGCACGCTCAGGATTTCCTGTTGATAGGACACTAAGTAAGGATGCACATTGAGTTTCAAGCTAGGCTCTTTTCTTCTTTTTTTCATCTCCTTTTATATTCTTATTTAGATTAGGATGGACATCAGTCCACACATCTACTTCCTGTACCATCACTGTGTCAAGTATGATGTGTCAGAGTTTGGTACATTTCTTTGTCTCATTATTGGCTGAATTTTGCAGGATTACATGCTATGTAACACTAAAATCTCAGACCAACCCTGATACTGACCTTTCAGGAGGAAGATAGTGAGATCAGTTAATTCATGTTTTTCCGAGGATCATCTGGAAGAATCTGGCGATCTCCTGTGGCATTTGGTTGCAGTGTTACTTCATCCTTTGATTATGTTAAGTCTGTTAAGTGTCAGCTGTCTGTCTTTCACTGTGATATGTCAGGAAAGAGGCTTTGGAGGACTTACCTAAAGAAAAACGTGTATAGCTCTTGTCATGCCCCAGAATTTAAATCTAGGCCAGCTAATAGCTTTCATCTCTGATGGGCTCATTGTGCAGAGTGATAATAATTTTGTCACCAGGCCAAGACAACAGCAATCTGCACAAACCTCATATAAAACCACACACTGTGAACAATGCAACATTTTCTACTTTAACATGTAAAAAAAAAAACCTATAGTCCCTATAACTTATAGTCACAAACCAAATGACAAGAGATTTAATGACTAAAAAAATAAAACAAATGCTAGTCCATTGAAATGTTTTGCAATATATGTGTTTGATATTTTCAATATACAGACTGACATGTATTTATAATTTAGGTTGTCTAAGACTTCATAAATCCAACTGTCACAGTACAACACCACTGAGTTTAAGTGCCGTGAACCGAATAGCTTTGCAAGCATATTTTCCACAGAGGATTCAAGCCTTCAAATTTAGGCTTTAAACATTAGAGGCAGAGTGTGTGGATTCCCCCTGTGTATCTGATAGGATGTCCTGTAGAGGGAAAACTGGAGGCCAAGGAGAATCAGAGGATATCACCAAGACCTTGAGAAGATGCTTCGGTCTGTTATGATAACGCCTTTTCATTCCCCCCATCACTGCAAACAAGAAAAACTGGATGTGGACAATCGATTCCAAAAAACTGGATAAGGATTTTATTGATAATTGAATTACATTTCTCTTTTATACATATTTCATAAATGATACAGGATTTTACATTTTTCTTTTTTTGCCAACATGACAGCGTCATATGCCAACTGAAGACAAAAAAAAAAGAACAGGTCAGAATGAAGAGATCAATTTAATCATATGTTCTGCTTCACTCTGTAGGCATTTTAAACTTCCTATCTTAAGTGCACAAAAAAGAATCAAACTTGACACACATTTTAAACATAGATTAACAATATGAATTTGGAGGGGGGGAAAAAAAGGTCTTGAGAGGTGATGGAAGAAGCAGAAAATGGAGGAGGATTGGAGATTTTCCTCAGTAAACTGAAATTGCATGGCTGAAAACTCTCCTTTGGACAAGAGGTCGTGAAACCTTCTTTAGAAATGTCCCAGGGATGGAGGGTGGTTTTCCATTTACTTGGGGGTGTGGATGCACAGTCAGGGAGGGGGAGTAAATAAGGTGAGGATGGGTCCGGGCTGGGGCTTGAGCAGTGGGTTGGCTGGGATGGAAATCACATTTGGCAGAGCGGATTCTAAAGATGCAGCCCTGTCCACTGCCCTTTATCACTAGGAATTTCTACAAACAACGTTCTTAAATTATCTTTGCAGTTATTTTTAATAAAACATCTTTTTTTTAAGGATTTTTACATAATTTCCCATGTAAACATACATTCATGCAACACCCTCTTTAGAATAAATTTTCCCTATATTTGATATATTTCATTGAGAAAAAGAAACAAAAAAAAGGCAATTAATGGTGGATGGCCTGATAAAAAGGAAAAGGTGATGATGGAGAGAAGTGCTGAGTAGAAACTGCAGAGGGGGGAACTTCCATTGCAAGTCTCCCCACAAACATTGTTTTTCTCTGTGGATGGTGTAGTGTGCGCAAGTTGGCCTGTTCAGGAAGAAGGAATTTATTCATTTAAAGCTAATGATGGAGACTGGATGATGATGGAATTGGTTTTTACTGGCACTGACAAGCAGCAATCAGGAGCAAAGGATTCATGGATAAGATGATCCGCTCTTTGCTCCCAGCACCCTCACGTGTGGACTCAACAAACATTCGTGTTCACCTCTTTCGGGTGATCGACCCTTTCCATGTAACTTCCACTAAGCATTTTTTATCTTCTAACCATTGCTGCATTGTCTATACAGTTGAAAATCACTGATTATCTAAAGGCACCATTTCCCTTGGAGAGAGCACACACACTGCACTGGGTTAGACCAAATCCTGTCTTTCGATCTGCATGTCTAACTTCTGATTTGACCCCAGAATCATGCATTTAAAAAAAGAAAATCTGCAGTTAAACATGCTGATCTCCTCAGAGGGATCCAGCCAGCTGCTCTCAGACAAGCACAGGATGGTCTTGAACTCTGTGCGGGGATTTTGAGTTGTTGCACCACCACCCCTCTGCAGAGGTGATCTACAGAGCCCCAGAGAAAAAACAATTACTGGTGTTTAGACTTTCGAGAGAGAGACAAATGGGACCTGGGAGAGGGCCACCAATCTTCACCCTGAACATAGAATTATGCACTGACAAAGTTTTTTTTATGACAAAAAAAAAAAAAACAGACAAAAAAGAAAAAAAAAGGATATGGCTTGTATAACATTTGACTCGATGAGAGGTTCAATTACAGCGAGATGTGGCAAAGAAAGGTTTCCAATAAAGTACAAAATTGCAATAATGCTCCTAAACATTCACAAATTTCTACTGAGGGCATACCACAGCATGCAGTCTACCCTGCCTTGCCTTTGAGGGAGCAGGGGGGAGGGGCATTACAGCAGCAGTGGGAGGAGAAAACTCTGACTCGCCTTTATTTTTGGTCAACTCTCACCAATTAAATGTGGACGTCATACTCCTAGTTACAGTTAAAGGAGAAAAAAAAAACGGTTCATCAGATATTGAGTGGCTTTGAGTTTGACTGAGGCCTTTATAAGTTAACATCTTAACCCTGTCGCTATCTTTAAGGTCTAAGAAAGCCTTTTTCACCCTTTTTGTGGATAAAATCCCCACTCATGTTGGCCACAGGAGCACATGAGCGTGAGGTATACAGTTTACAGAACATGATTACCCATACAGTTCTTTGGTTGCCATGGGAACATGTGAAACTGTGTGTTCAACATAGCAAATGCAAACAGAGTTACATATACTGTGTTGAAGTGTTAACAGGCCTCTTTATGTGGAGAAATCCTTAGAGGATGTCCTCTTCGTGAAATGACGTTAGTAAGAGAGCTCCTCCCCCCACTGGGAAAAAAAAAACTAGCCTCTGGTCATCTGTTTATTTGATTGTATACATATATATTTATATATTTTTTCATAACAAATATACTATGGCTTTCAAAATAAAAAGTGCCAAAATATTTTTTTTTTTTTGGAATAAAAGAACACACAGTGATGTTGTTGTCGGTAGTACTCTCGTAGTTGCGGAGGCTGGACCGCTACGGGACATCAACAGGAAGAGGAAATGAGCCGTGGTCATCCCTGCATCCTGTGAGCGAAGATATGCTCCTGACGAGGGTCAAGCGGGGAGGGGCAGCTGTCCTTCACCTGGAGGAGGCGTGGCTCAGAGAAGGAGAGGCAGCAGAGTTCAGCGGCGGGGACCCCAAGGTCTCCGCGTGGTGTGACTGCAGTCAGAACTGTCTTGTAAACGTGTCCCTGGAGCCTGCACTGGGTGAGAGTAGCTGTGTGTGTGTGTGTGTGCGTGCGTGTGAGAGAGTGTTGATCACGTAACTGCCAGAGAAAGCAAAGAAACTGCTGTGTTGACCTGCAGCCCGGCCACAGTTGGTGTCCAAGTACAGCCTGATAGCAACACACACACAAGCAGACACACACACACAGACTCAGGAAAGGCTGCCCCTCTTCATGATCCCTGTCTTGGAGTGTCTGCAGGCGTGATGCTTCACTTTTCACCTACGTGGTTACCTGCAAGTTGTCCCCCTGGAGGTTTTGAGGCATATCCATGGCGCCCAACTTGATTCTATCCTCATCATATTCCTTTTTTTTTATCAACCTTTTCATCCTTCAGCTGTGAGAAGTTTTCAGTCCTGGGTTTTTCTCACCATCCTGTTTTAATCTTTGAACAGTTTTTACTCCTAATTCCAACGGGAGATTTCAGTCAGGAAAGTAAAATAGGAAAAAAACAAAAAGGAAAACAAAAAAACAAATAGTAGGAAAAATAACAAACAAATAAGAAAGAGAAGGGATAAGTGGGCATGGGAGGAATGGGGGGTTCTGAGGAAAACTGGGGATATAAGGAAAGGGAAATGGGTGTTGAACAGCAGAAGGTTTGAGGGAAGGAGGAGCTCAGAGAGGAGAGAGTCTCTCTTCACGTCAATTCTTATCAGCGGTGAGCTGCTGAACTGGAAGCTGGAGCTGAAGCGGGTCCCTTAGACGCTTCAGATCCAGCTCCACCTGGAGGGGCAGAGGAGGGGTGGGTGTTACAATATGAAAAGAATATGTAAGCAGACGCTGGTTACAAGTTTAAGTAGCGAGATGTAAAATGTGTAAGTGTCCAGTGTGGCTGCAGAGTTTGTGTTACATCATACAACATGCATCTGTCATCCAGCAACCGTACCTCAGCTATGTCATCCTTCAGCTTATTGTACTTCTCAACGTCGAAGCGTGTCCTTTTCACCCCCTTGTGGAAGAACAGCAGATACTGTCTGTCTCTAGCGTCGGGATAAACATACTCCTGGAGGTTATAAAGAGACACAGATGGAGCACTTTGAAAGAACAACCGGTTTATCAGATGTCCTCTATAATATGCTTTCTTGTCCTTGGGCCCAAATCACACCGGTCTAAAATAGATTCCGTGTCCTTGGCGTTTAAAATTTGTGGTCATTTGTGAAAAGTGAATTTTCCTCTGAAGGGCAATTTTGCACATTAACCTTCAATAAAAAAAAAAAAAAACAGCAATTGTGTTTACAACAATTCTGGGCTACACACTATTTATTTTATCTGAACCTGATATAGTGACAGTAAACAGCAAGGCAAAGGAGTAAAACTCCACTTTAGAGGAAGCTGACAGTTGTTCTTGGTCTCGTGCTGCTGCGTCTTACCTGACGTGTGAGAACGAAGTAGGCATACATGGCCATCGCAGTGCCATAGGTGATGAAGTAGGTGACGGGCTCCATGATGTCCCAGGAGTACTCCCACCAGGTCAGCCTGGCCAGGATGCCAAACTGGGTGGCCATGTAAGCCATGCCTCCCCACAGCACCCAGGTGGTGCGCCGCTCTGCCTTCTTACTCAGCTCATCCCTCACCTACACAGGACACAAGTGGAGCGTCACCTGTCAGTTTACTGGGAATTTAAGGAAAGTCCCTGAAAAAAAAACACAAACTCAAGGACAGTTATCGTCAATCTTCTGTTCAATTTTAATCATTGATAATATAGCTACTTTGGGCAAAAGATGCCATCGAAAACTTGAAATAGAAAAGTGGTTAACATTGTGATGAGGTGCTGATTCCTGCAGAATGAAAAAGTACTGATCATTAGGAAGGCAAGAGGGCCAAAATACTGGAGGTAGACTGTCTGATATATATATACAAAAATAACAATAGCAGTTGAAAAAGACTAAAAGGATTGTTTAAACAGCATGTGAGGACTACTTGTTATAAAACTGTTAAGATGTTTTGGGGTAGAGAGAACAGAGAGCTCTGGGATTATGTATGTGTGTTTCCCCAAAAACACATCTACAGAGCTTAGGGCTGACCTGGGGCAATCTGAAAGATGCCAATTTTACAGGAAGCACAAAATCTGAAATACATCAGCAGGGATTCTCATGGTCAACCAAGTCGTTGTGGGATAAACTAAAACAGAGTTCTTTTTTGTTTCAATAGGTGAGAATAGGTGAGAATGATGGTCACAGAGAAATGATTATCATTCCTGCAATAGCTGGGCCTCTTTGCTGCCTCCTGCTACAAAAAACATTGAATGTATTAAAGTAAGAAAAGTATAGAGTGTGTTAAAACTAAAGACTAATAAGTTAGGGAATAAATAAATTATTGAAAACTTGGAAAAGTCTGCAATCTGACGGTGGAAAAACACCTTGAACACAATCAAACTTAAACTCAGTGGCCATAATAAATAGTTTGGTGCTTTTCAATACCTCCGCAATTTCTGAAAGAAAGATGTTACAAAGGAGAGCAGTCATTATAGCTGTTCAGTACAACATTCTTAAACAGCTCCTTTCAATTTTCACTTTCAGATTAAGAATCAGTTATTGTTATAAGATGCTTTCTTGTGGTCACACTATCTATTTATCCCCTTACAGAGATACCATAGGCATGACACTTAATGATCATAAAGAATAACAAGACAAATAGCACAATGAAAAAGCAGCTAATTACAGGCAGCATCATTTACTTCCTGTGTTATCAGCATGCTCATATATGTTTTACTTGTTCCTTGATTTGTCAAACAATCATTGGCTGCATCATTAAAAACTTGCAGCCGCGTGGGCCTGTACTTAAGAACAGTCAAGAACTGTTAATGGACCTTTTCTAAGGGGCGGAGTTGAGAGTTAAGATCCTCCAGTCGTTGAATCAGCTCACGTTCTTTGCAGAGTTGGTGCTCCTCGATGCGCAGGGTGGTGTAGAGCTGCTGCACTAGAAATTTGACATCATTCAACCTCTCGGCCTCCTCGTGGGGCAGCAACTCTGAGGGTCAAGCCAGGGGACAGGTCATCTTAGTGGTGAAGGAGCGACTGGGATCAAACGGCTTCCTCTTTGCGGGGACTCACCTCTCCTTGGCGGCCGTACAAGGTGTGTGGTGTCGTTGATGACAAGCTTGAAATCGTCCAGCAGCAGGATGTCTATACCTGTGGAGGAGGCAACCCTGGCTCCGTCTGAGGAGGAAGACCCACAGGAAACGGGAGGGAACGCAGTGAGAGTCTCAAAGGCGCTGATGGGTTTCCACTTCAAATACTCTTCAAATACTCCTCACCCCTCTTGATAATCAGGCCTATAGACATCTGATTATCATGAGGAGTAAAAGCAGATACACACTCACTCCCTCAGAGTAAAATTTCAAGCACCAGTAGCTCGTGTATAATGACCCCAGAGCAGGGTGTAGGCAGCTCCTTTATAGGCTGTCACAAAGCCACAGTGGTAACACTTATCTATACATGTACACGCGTCGGGGGAAATAGGAGTGATGGGCATTCTAGGGCTGGTGCACATACCCATGGAGTAGATGGCTACCCGGTCGATGCCTCTGTCCTCTGCCTGGAGCTGTTGCAGGAAAACTCCCACACAGTCGCTGAGAGGCTTGAGGGTGAACTGACAGCGCTCTCGCCTGGACGGCAAACTGACCGAGATCACAGGCAGCCCATTCTGATACACCACTGTTACCTCTGAGAGGGTGAAAAGAGAGGAGGGAAAACGAGGGTGAGACAAATGTCACAGACAGCCTGAGGTCTACGCTGAGCCACGGACAAAAGATGTCACTCTGCTCCCCCACGTTAACACTAAGTCTGGAAACTTTGAACTGACTTTAAAAAAAGAACACAAATATTATAGACAAAATATGATCAGCTTTTAAAGAAAATAATCCAACATTACGGGCAGCATATGTTAATATATAAATCTGTAGACATTAACTTATCAAAACCCGAGGGATTTCATGTTGATGACAAACATGGAGGGCAGGACTATCATGGTATGGGCCTGTTTTGCTGCAAATTGAAAACAATGCATTTTAAATTATGGCATTTATCTATTCATAAGTTTCAAAAGTTTCCTGGTGAATGCAGTTTTTGTGAGGGAGCACCCCAATTATCCCAACTTGTTCTTTGAGGGGAAAATGGGATCAAATTGATCAAGCTGGTAAGCTCCTCAAACGTCTTCCAGGCGCCATAACCTAAATGTTCACCCAAAGTTTAAGAAATGTTCTGGATGTCCGCACAAAGTGGAGAGTGGTCTGACGGCCATCATTAATGGGTTTATTCATCCTCATCACAGCATCCTATGCTAGTTACCTGTAATACACCAGAGATTCACTACAAGGCCATGCTGCATGCAGAAGAATTACACTGCTGACAGTTGCTCAGAATTAATACAACATTAATGCATTGCCACGCATTTCCTTAGAAAACTGTGGTCCTTCCTCCATGCCAACTATTGATAATTCTCATTCCCACTGAGAGGCTTAAAAGACTTCTGGATGATGCGTGTGTGTGCTACAGCTGACGATCAAAACGACCTTTAGACACAGCAATAATCACAATTCATGCATTCCCTGTGATTGTTTTCAAAGTAGCACAAAAAAGAAAGCATGGATCTGCGCAGTAGAGACGGACGATCCCCCACCAACAATTTTCCAGCTGCTGATTATGTCTTTGTGTGTTTGATGTGCTCTGTTCACATGCTGATTTTATAAAACCACTTTGAAAACGGCCTTTTCTTTTCTTTTTTTTTTACCCCAACAGCTGTCAGAATCTGCTTTACGCATGCTGATGAGGTCTGGGATGTGGCTCTGCTGGTCCATAACCGAACTATAGTTATTATGACTGCACAGCTGATGCTATTATCATGCTGAAATGCCCCTAACGACAGAACCATGAATCAACGCAGAGCCCACAGAGGAGATCACTCACACTGCTGCATCCAAAAACCCCTGCCTGCTCTCGGAGCCACTGCAGTGAATCAGCAGATCTCTGCTTGAACTCACACAGGGAGGTAAAGGATCATCATTTGGCAGCCATGCTTCTTTTTGTGCGTCGGCTTCTTTTGAAATGCAACAGGGGTGTGGATGTTGGGTCTCTCACTCAGTTCTCCCTCACAATGACACTTTGAAACCTTTCCCTGGTGTAGATAAGCTGCTACTTCTCTCGCCTCCTCTCCTTTTGTCCTAGATTATCCTGCCATCGCAGTCACGTTGCTTAAAGTGGGAGTATCTTGTGCTTATCTGGTACAGTAGTACAGCTATTAAAGCGCACTTCAAAACCAAATCCTCCTGTTCTGTGATGCTGCTACTGCCTCAGCCTCCTCTCAGCAGGCCGGCTCTTGCATTCCTCCCACCAATCACGCCCTCATCACAGAAAAGTGATGCTGCCCAAGATATAATATCCACTGGCTGCAAGCTCTAGATGAGCCTCTGTTGCTCTATTAATGCATAATATCTCATTTGTTTCCACCAGGAACCAGGAAATATTCTGGGAAATCCATTATGAAACGCACATCCTCTAACAAAAACTGCTTTGTGACTCACGCCTTTTTTTTACGACTTACCTTCTGGAGCAGCAGAGGAACACAACAGTCTCTGGCCATGCCACGAGGGGGCGCATCTCCAAACCTAAAAAAAAAAAGAAGAAAAAAAGAAGCAGACTTATTATCCTGCTTTGACAACAACCTGCTCTCCTCTGACATGTTGTTTATTCAAAAAAAGCGAAGTGGTGCCAGACGGAAAGACACTCAGGGATGGGACACTTCCTCTGATCGATGCCATGTAACTCTCAACTATTTCGTCAAGTGGCTTGGTTTCATTTTACAAAATGGCCCCGGTTCTAACCACACCCAAGGAGGGAAGAACAGAAGTTCCTGACATATTCTGTTACGGGTAACAACTCATTTAAATACACCAGGAGCCAGACGCATACACAAGAAAGCACACGAAGAACACACCCAAACTTCAGGCTGAAACAAAAAGCCTTTAAATGAAGAGGAAGTGATGACAATTTCAGGGAAACCCTTGTTGTTTGTAGTTGCTATTAGATACTGTAAACATCCAAATGGGAGCGCCTGTACAGCTTGTGCTGCACATGCCTCAAATTACACAGCTTGTCACGTGTTTGGGTGAGCCTCGGGCACAGGATGACGTTCGGAACTCCTCCTTTTCGAAAAAGGAGCAAACAAGTATGAAAAAATGAAATCAGGCAAACAAAAGAGCCCCGTGGCAGACTAACTTTTCAGATTTAGCACTGAAGTGTGCACTCCAGCGTGAAAATACGTGCTAAAAACAAACGCTCCACTCTCCTGGCAACTGGGCCTCGTAAACACTCCGTAACCCTTCCCTCTCTGCAGACACAGGAAGTGCCTCATGCTGTCGGGGCTTTTAAACAGAGCTGCCTCCCTCCAGCAGGCTGATGCACTCACTCTGTGTACAGTATACAGTCTACTGCCTGTGTTGTTATATCATATTTACGATATGCCCACACTCGCTGACCCTGACTGAGGTGTGCCGCAGCGGCAGACAATAAACTCAAACAGCTTCTCCTTTAAAACCATCACAGCTGAAGTTGTTGTGTTTGCCTGTGTTCGTTTATGTGCAGGCAGCAGTTGTCTACCTGAGATCCCAGCATCCATCCGAGGCACGGAGGATCAGACTGAGCCGTCAGTCAGCTGCGGCGGATCGAACGATCCGCTGTCAGTCTGCCTAACCCGAACGGACAAAGCCAGTGTTGACGAGTCAGGAAATGATGACGAGGCTGGAGGGACGCCTGTCCGTCAAAACACTGGCATTTAACACCGACAAGCTGAATCTGATCAACTGATTCTCAAGTAATAAACAATATGTACACCTCTTTGAGGAGTCTTGTAATTGAGAATACCAATTGCTGCCCCACGGAACCAAGCGGAGCCCAAACAGTGATTAGCCCACTGATAGGCTGACATGCTGAGAAGGGGCTTTTTGGCTCGTCTGGAATAACTGCACAGTCTGCAGAGAGCCGTCCAGCTCTGATTTGCTCTTTCATTAACTTCTGTAGTTTGAAGCCAGGAGGGAAAGATTTCATCGGATCACACACACACACACACACACACACACACACACACACACACAAAGCTCACCGTCACCCACCCACGCAACCTCCGCACAGCGCAGCCAGCATCAGAAACATATGCAAATGCGGCAGCGGGACGAGTGCATGCCCATCTGCGGGCTGACACGTATGTGGGACTGTGGATGCGCGTGCGTGTGTGCGTGCGGCTGGCGTGCGTGCGTGCACGTATGCGAGCGCCCGCCGTCTGTCCACCAGCCTGTTTGTCAGCAGTGGCTGCAGAGCGGCGGAGCAAAGCCTCCCCGCTCCTCCCTTGGCACACGGCCACCGAAATGCTGCCTGAAATATTTAACAGAGGAGCAGCAGTCAATGGCACACCAACCTTGAAATCAATGTCACATGGCAACGGGGGAGGGAGGGAAACAAAGAAAGCAGGCTTTGAGGAAGGAGATGGACACACGAGCAGGCAGAGGAAAAAGGGGTGTGGAGGGATAGGGGAGAGGAAAAGTGAGGATAAATGGAGGGGCAGTGGGGGAGCGTTGGAGATGAAATAAGGAAAGAGGGAAATGGTGCGAGTCACGAGTCCACTTGCATTTCTAACCATGCGCTGCGTATACTGTACTCTGCTGCAGACAATCCCTCCCCACAGAAACGTGACTGTAGTAAGTGTGTGTGCGCAACTAATGTGGTGTCAAATAAGAGATGGAGGGAGAAGTGAGGTGGGATGAGAGGAGAGAGAAAGAAAGAGAGACAGAGGGAGGGAGGGATATGAAAGGAGAAAGCCTTCAGAGGGAGGGAGAGGAGGAGAGGGGGAGAGGGGGGAGGACTGCTGATCACTGCAGTAAAGGAATCCCTCGTCTACAAAGGGGGGTTGCCCCTCGAATTCTCTCCCTGCCTCCATCTCCATCTAACTCGCGCGGAATCCTGATGTGCTTGTTTCTAAATCTTCCATCAGGTCCCATCTGCACTGCGCTTCAACTTCCTCGGTGTGTCATCACACCCCTGGCGCAGCACATGTGCGTTTTCTTTCAATTAAGGAACGCTCCTCGATTCATAATCTCCATGCCAGTGCAGTAAATTTCCCTTTGGGATTATTAAAGTATTTCTGATTCTGATTCTGAAATGAATAAGAGGGAGAGTTAGGCCAAACACTGAGCTGAAGAACACTTACAAGCCTACAATAAAGGCTTTGGATTAGCTTAGGCTGTACCACCCACCAGGCCCTCCTCACACTGGGGGGGCACGATGCACAAACTGTGTGACACAAATCTAAAGTAAGGATTATTCACCTACTTATAGCACACACTGTACAGAAACCTCCCATAAATCGCGCATCAGACATAAACAGCACGGAGAGGAACTGACACCCAACAGCACAACCAGCTCAGCCCCCCCATGACTGTGTTACCTTTTCAATTTGTAGTGTTATGTTCCAGAAACATGATCATATTCTTCCTCTCGTTTCAGTCTGGGTTTAGAAATGTGCAGATACTGGCGAGATTTATTAGCCGCCACCTCCTCCTCCTCCTCCGGCGTAGTCACACATATTCATAAACTGTTAGCAGAGCTGCTTTGAGGGCGGACCCGAACAACAGCCAAGGTTTTTCAGCCAAGAAGAAGCTAAGACGCTGGGTTATTTTTAAGAGTTCTATGGAAAGTCACAACACATTGGATGCATGTTAATGGATGGAGCAGTGGCTCCATCTTAACTTGGACATTAAAGAGGAATACCCCTGACTTACTGATAGTACTGGGCTTTCCACCATCTTTTTTCTGATCAGCTGCTTTTAGTTTGAATAATGATCCAAAATATTGATGCACACACATTGTTACTCTTTTCACTTAATTGCAAAGATTATAAAACAGGAGACAGTTCAGCATTTTTCAGGATGTAGTTTGAGTATTATTTCTTGTGGGATTACTTTATTTTGGGTTTGGTTTACCCTCTCTGAACCTAAAAAGTTTGATCACCCATATGTGAACACAATCATAAAATAAAATTGTTTTTTTATTGATGAGGAAAAAAAGCAAATTAATATTCTCAATATCCGAAATGCTGATTTTTTTTTTAAATACAGGTGAATGTAGCTGCAGCTGCATTGTGGGATGGACATAAGCCTGGTTAGGAATCCCAGCATTTCACACACAGTAAGCACTGGGCCTCCACTCAGCTTTGTCGTTGCAGCAGAATCTCCACACAAAACGACACAGCTGTTTAAAATCCCCTTGTTTCTCAGAACAAATCCTTTTAACTCCACAGTGTCTCTGACACCAATTTGGTAAAATGTTATTGCTGACATACTTCCCATTTCACGGCGCTCCACTGGGGGCGCGGACAGCTCGGCCACTTATCTACACGGGGCCTGCATCCCTCTGCATCCATCTGTGGTAATGTGCTGCCCCCGATTGTGACCCCAGACAAAATAATGTAGTCGCACACAATTACGCATGCAGTCGGTCACACAGAAAAAGGCTCTTCTACTTCAAACCCATGTTTAAAGGAGCTTACGTTTTGAACTTGTGGACGTGTGTCAAAAATGATCATTTCAGATCAGCATGAAGCCGCTCTAAAAGGCAGGACAGAAAATATAATAAATGGACAAAACCACTCTCGAGCAAATGTTCAAGCATCACTTCATCAGTACAAAAGCAGAAGTTGGCATTTCCAGAAGAACCATTTTAAGAAAAATAACTCTTTAAAGTGAAGTAAAAACAAAGCCCATAAGGAAGGGTTTACACCACTATTAGTCATAACAATGTGCTGTCAGCAGCGGGGACCTTAAGGCATGTCACACAATAGAGAATTAGGTCCATGAGATATTTAAGAGGACATGCATCATCCTAACTTTCTTTCACCCGACAGAATCACTGCGTTCGCAATGTCCTCTTTCATTAAACCGGTGAGTTTTTGGAGATCGTTGTGTTTTGACTTTTACGAGTCTTTTATAACACATTTGGACTCCTCTGACTGCAGCGTTTTAACACGATGCCCTGCTCTCCTCTCCTGTAATGTGCTGAATTCCAAATGCTCTTAAAGATACAGCATAGTTAAAAATCTAATCAATTAAGAGGAAGCACTTGCCAGACCACTTTGGAAACAAGCAACCTAAAAAAATGTCTTCTTTAATTCCTCTTTAGCCAGTTTATGATGGGAATTAAATATATCTGCTGTGATAAACTCGAGTCATAAGATTATCAAGATAAACCTGAGGTCTTACTGGGTAATATCTTGACTAATTAACTATACTAATGTGTACAAAAACAGTTTTGTTTTTGATTCACAAAACCAAGATCTAAGAAGTGTACAATGCCATTGTATAAATCAAATCAGTAAATCTTTGTTTTTCCTCATGCTAAAATGCAGTTAACAAGTTCGCTAACCCCAAAGTGTGGCAAAACTATTAAGCAGGACCATATCATGCCTTCCCTGCGAGTCTGAGTGGTTCAAGTGTGCACACTGCTACTCAGGTCAGTCGGGCACTCGGCATTCTTGAAAGAGCAAAGTGGATTTGAATGCAGTCTTTTCACACACCTCATTGGCAAAGATGTTATGTAAGGCAGCATATGCTGTCTTGGCTTTTGAATGTTTTGCTTATGTGGTCACATATGTGACAGCTGCAGGTGTGCATTAAGTAACGTCCAGTCACACAG